ATTGCAATGTCAGTGCTGAAGATAAAGAATCGGAAAAATTAATAACATACAGAGACCTAGCAATAGAAATAAGTTACTTATGAATGAAACACATTTCAGTGGGCCCCATAGTCAATGGGTCATTGGAAAGAATGCCACAGAATTTTATAAAATAAAAGAAAATTTTATAAAATCACCTGCAGATCTCTGAAATAAGACCATCAGAGTTGCAAAGACAGGCAGTATTATATATAAAAGTTAATTTTAAAGGTGCCACCATGTTTTTGTCTCTTTTTTTAACTTTTTGTTTCTATTTTGCTTTTACCTGTAATGATATTTAATGGGTATTTGGGGTTTTGGTTAAACTTGTCTCCCTTATAATTGTATAAAACAGTCAAAGACTGTGTATTGTATTTTCGAACCATCGTTGTTAGTCCAGCTCCTGTCAAGGAGGCACAATGAGGAATCGAACTCCCAACCTCTGGCTCTACAGCCAGAGACCTAGTACTCACACAAAAGAGCTGTTGAGTTTCATGGAACCTACCATTGTTTCCACATGATGGTGCAGTCCTTGGAGATGAAGGGCTGAACGGTGTTTCCATACCTTGGATTAAGACTCATTGAACATTGTGAATAAGTGTTCAGAGGATTGCTCTAGAACCAAAATCGTCAAGGCAGTTGGGTTGCTTAACATGGTGTGATGTGATGTTAAGACATTTCTTCAATGTGCTCTCCTAATCCTAGTGTGCTAAACTCTGAAGCATCTCTAGGCCTGGTTTTGTTTATGGCTCAAGGTCAGAGCAGATCTGGCTTTATTTAATCTGACAACTGCAATTAATCTTCATAGTGTTTGTTATTGTAAAGTCAACCGAGGCAAATCCTGAGCAGCTCCAAGATCATGAGAAGGAAGAGAGAAAGTGTCATCTTCCTTGCTACTCTCCTCACCTAAATCATCCCTTCTAAACTTGTCATTGGACTTTGTTCCAGTAGCATCTATGGCAGTTAACATAACATTTCTGTTTCCTTTTCTTGAAGGAACGTCTCCAAGTGTCCCTGGACTACATCACCCATCATTCCTACCCAGCATGCTTGCAGGTTTGGAATGAAGGGAGCTCTAGTTTAAGAACATCTAGGTTTTGCAAGCTGGCATCTACACTTTTGTGACCCTTTCTGCATTCAGAGCACCAAGCAAACCCCTCGTAGACCCATAAACCCCCTACTTCGGCATTTTGGGTGTGCCTTTGATACATGTAATAAGAGAAGCATGCTGTGGTTGCTTGCAGAGCACAAAAAACAACAGTCCAAACTGCTATCCCTGTACCTCCCCTCCCACATGGCCAACATCAGCTCAACCATGGGAAAAAATGGGATTCCATTTCATCCTGACCGGCCGCACAGATACAGCAGCCCCCCCCCCATTCTTCAGACCCTCCCTTGTTTTATGTCGAAAGAGATAATTAAGGGGGCAGGGGAAGCACCTGTGCTGGACACCCACTTTCAGAACGCCTGAATTAGGGCCATAGGATCAGAGAATTGTAGAGATGGAAGGAAACCCATCTAGTCCAACTCATGTCAATGCAGCAAATTGATAGCCAAAGCATCCTTGACAGATGGCCATCCACACGGGGTTCAAAATCTTCCCGTGCAAATGGATCCAGTGCTTTCCAAGGCAGTCTGTTTCCAGGCTGAACGAAGTTTCTATCAGGCTTTTACCTCTGCCTTTAAATTCATAACTGTTTTTTTTCCTGATCATTTGTACCGTGTTCTTCATTGTAGTCATGGCATTTTTGTAGCATGTTTGCTTCACTGTCATTTGATGGGGCTGTTGAGAGCTAAGAGGTATAATTTAAAATGAAAGACAGGATATTAAAATTTGCTTTTAATATAT